GGGGGGGGGGGAAGAGGACGAGAAGAATTAAGCGAACGGGTCGGAGGTTGAGTCCTGAGGATGGGAAGGGGTTGTGCCGCGGCGACGGCGACGGAGGGGACAAGATCGAGGGAAGCCGGAGGTGAGCCGCGTCGCGGAGGATCGCGTCCGGTAGGGATAAAACGTTGGACCGACCTGACGCGGTCGCCGCCGTCGCGGCCACAGTGGGGGGTTAAATCGCGAGACGCGGCCGAGAGCGCGATAGTGGGGATCGCGCGGCGCGGCGCGCCGCGCCGCGCGAGTGGACCAACTGGGTTCGCCAGCAACACGCGGTTCATTGACCGAGAAGTGCCGGGAGAGCCGAACATACGAGCCAACGGGCTCTCTCTCTCTCTCTCTCTTTCCTCCTCGGGCCCGCTACTAAAACAGAATTCGCACCGGCACTTTGCGCGCCGGGACGCTCGCAAGCGGACGCCCCCGTCGAGGGTGTCGAGGGCGACAAAAGACGAATTAGCGATGCGCGGGAAGAGCTTACGAGTCACGAGGCGGAACGGGGGACATTGAATTGCCTGGTGGAGCACTCAATTGAGTAATTTTGGTTCGGAAGAGGCGAGAGAGAGAGAGAGAGAGAGAGATTATCATCGATCGAGATTGCGAGGAGGATTGTCCCTCGAGAGTTTTGACAAGAACGGCTGAAACACTGACAGCGATGAACGAACACTTGACACTTAATACACTTTAAAGGGGTCCTTTAAGAATTAAAGCGGAACGGCAAAACTGTGCTGCCGCGCTTTTATCGCTATTTTTAACTGCAGATTTCTCAGAAGAAACCGGCTGCTGCATTATCCCCTTTCCAAATTTAAATCCCCGTTAAGTGGAGGAGATTTAAATGTTGCAAATCATACGAAAATACGCGATTGAAGCTTCGCCGGCTGAATTGTCAATGTACATCTCAGTTCATTGAACGCGTAAGAGACCGAGATTTTTTTCCCAAACAAGAACCCGCAGCGCAGAGTTCGAGATCTCCGTCACACCTTCGACGAAACGACGTCGATGACGTCGATGAAGGCGGAGAGGGAGGGGGGGGAGGGGGGAAGAAGAAAAAGAAAGAAAAAAAGAGAGGAACGATTGCCATCTTAGACAGATGTTATCCCGCGTTCCCAACATGGTAAGCGAGCGCGCGCCGGTATCGGCGTGGCCGATCGTGAACCGTGGCGGTTCGATGACTTATTTCCACGACCAGGCGCAACGACTGCGCGTTTCCTGATCGGGAAGGAGCGGACCGCGGAGGCGCAGAGGCAGGACGAGGGAGAGACGCCGCGCGGCGCGGGGCCGGCCGCGAGCGTTTACGAGAAAGGGATGAAGTCCAACGGCGTAAGTAACTTCGCGGAGAGACCACTACCGTCGCCGTCGTCGGTGTGGTCGCGCAACACGGCGCACACTTGTCGGGAAAGGAGATGCGCGACTCCGCGGTATAATGAACCTGGGAAACCGGTTGCATTCGCGCGCGAGCGCGACCGCGAGCGTACGTACAGATCGATTCGCTCTTTCTCTGTACCTGTGCGTTACATTATGCGAGGCCGCGCCGCGCTGCATTTCCCCTCATCGAGCTTTCGCGCTGCTGCTTCGCGGTTTATATTCGCGAATATAAACTACTCTCATGCGCTCCCATCGACGTTTTCCTTCTTATCTTTCTTACATTTTTCTATCTCTCTTCTTTGGCCGCGTTTGTTTAGATCGATGAGAAGAATTATATTGTAACATTAGAAATATAATTAGAACTTGTTAATCTTATTAATGATGAATAAATCGTTCAACACTGACAAAGCGTGAAACAGTAAAAACGCCATTATTTTCAGTTGTAAATGCTGATAAAATTTCTATAAAATAAAACCTTCGATTTCTTCCTTCTCTTTGTTTTCTCACTTCAGCGACTAATAAAAATAGAAACATTAAAATGTCAATATCAAATATGAATATCTTTAATAAAACATAAATCCGAACGAGGAGATTATTACCGATGGTTAATTTTCAGTGCACTTTGTTGCGCGCTCTTTCACATGCGTTCTTTCACCGCTGTTCTCTATTGAAGGTGAAAGTTATGATGACATAATCTGTATTGAGTCAGCTGGATGTAACAAAGACGCGAACAGGCGCGTTAATAATACTTACAAAAATAATATTCAAAGGGCGAATTTGTTCAAAATAATTGAATAATCCTAGAAAATTTTGCGAAACAACAACAAGAGCAGCGGTCGACTAATCGCCGATGCATCATCAATTTCTTAATAAAGAAGCGAGGAATATAAATTGTGGAAGAGCCCGATCACGGCACGACGGAGGCCTTAACGCCTCCTCATTCAGTGAATATACATACTGTTATAAGTTTATAATCATAATTATAGAGAGTGCCGGCTCTTATGCAATATGATAATAATATATCGCCATCTCCGCGACCTACATAAAAAGATATTCTTATAACATAAATGCGTCCTTAACCCTTTCATTGTTAAGAAACGCGATCCGCTATAATGCACGGCGGTAATGGAAGCTATGCAAAGCAGTCGACATATCTTGCCGCGTTTTCCCGGAGTTTCGCGAAAGTCAATCTATCAGGACTTGTCCTACATCTCGTTATGCATTCACGATGGGGCCTCGCTTTTTCTGCTACTCCTACAATACGCAGCTTGATTTATTTTTATTTCGCATCGCAACCTCCCGCAAACTTCTTTCGCTCCGAAATACGCGACGGGGAGAAGCCGTATATTATTACGCCTTCCTTAAAGTTTCGCGAAAATCAATCGCAATTCTTCCGCTACTCGCGATATTTAACACATTTTCGTTTCGCATCACAATCTTTTCGAAACATTTCTCTCTCCCTCTCCAAGAACGCGCGACGGAGAGAAGTCGAGGGACGCGCCGCTCAATCTCGCACGTTTCGCGACACCGCGTTCTAGAGAAACTACCTGTTATTTCTGACCTACCCCCCGTAAAAGCCGGGAGACACATTGACCTTCCGCGGACAATGGTCAGCCAGATGGAAGCCCGACGGCTAATTGGCCATCAACTAGAGAATTTCCCGGGGACTCGAGAAATTCTCTCCCAGCAGTCGACTGCTGTCCATTAGAGCCGCCGTCCACCAATCACGAGTGACCGAAAAGGCCAATCTCGGAGGCGCGCGCTTCGTTTCACGGATCCTCGAGGTTCGAGAAACGAAGAAGAAAAAAACACGCACGGTGAAGGGAAAGAGCGAGCGAGCGAGCGAGCGCGCGAGAGTAAGAAAAAAGTCACCTTCAATTAAAGCGGAGCGCGCTAAGGGAACTTCCGGTTGCCGAGATCTTCCGGCTCGCAGTAAACCGTTCCGGCACGAGGGAACTGTGGGAGAGTGACGGGAGGGGGGGGAGGGGGAAGGACGCAGTGTGGTAAAGGGGGTTGTAACAGGCGAGGGGTGGCGGGTTGGATTTGCGCGAGGAGAGAAGCCGCGGGGGCTGGAAACGAGGGGTAGAAGCCTGAAGAAAACACATAATAGGGTGGGGCGCTTTGCTGCCGCTTTTGAATCGATCCAACGCCAGCTACAGCTGGAACCTCATCCCACCGTGCCGAGCAGCGGTGCTCATTCTCTCCCCCCCCCCCTCCTACCCTCCCCCAATATCGCTCTTATTGTTATCAACACGCGAGGTACTTCGCGTACACACAGAACCAGATCCGTTCTGAGAACCTTCGAGCGACGAATTCGCGAGATCATTTAGCGCGATAAGTTTTTTTTTCTTCTCTCTCTCTCTCTTTTTCCCTTCCTTTACGATGAAAATATCCCAGGAGGTCGTCGCTAGTCGCGCAACTTCGCAACTTTCAACATCGCTATCGTATTCGGCGAGTGAAGTCTCGGGTGAGAGATTTCTGTCGGACCGGAAATTATGCGAATGACAAAATGTCGCTCTGTCCGCCGTTTACGTTCTCCGAAAACCCGTCATCTCTGACCCGCCGAAGTGTCGCGGGGCCGGGAAGGAAAATCGCGACTTTCTCAACGTCGCAACTCCCCGATAATCAGCGATACGTGCGAGATACTTTTGTACTTTTTATGCATTTGCAAACACGACCGGTATAAGTGCATCCCGAAACGCCGGATGAAAAATAAGGTAAATCTTGTCTGTAGGGGCGAGAGAAGTTGCTTTAAATCAAGTTTGACAGGATTTCTTGGATAAATTCTACATATGCACGTACATACAACGTGCAGAATTTGACTAACAATGGATTAGCGCGTGTTTTTTAGTTCACGATTGCATGCGAAGGGAACCGGTTTGACATGAATGCACCGGTCAAAAGAAGTTTTGCATCTCACTCAATAATCTCCGCGCTAAATGATAAACTGCATTATTTAAAAAAAACGTATTGCAAAATGAATCACATGACAGATAAACAAACCCGAAAGAACATTCGGCCAGAATATGCACAAGCTATTCTTCATTAATTAAGAGAAACGCGTGACCCAAAGAGAAGTGAGAGACAAGGAATTTTAAAAATTTCGAGAAAAAGCGAGAAAATTAATTCAATTTGTATAATAATTTCACATAATGCACACAATATTCAAAGATAGCACTGTTAATAACAGCGTTATCTCTTATCGTTTCTTTTATTTTTGCTTCTATTACCTTCCACAACTTCTTTCTTTTTCTAGCTAATTAATTTTTCCAATTATTTATCAGATGATATACATTAACAGACAGGTGGTACGGAAAAAAGTTCGCTCTTTAAAGATTTCTCCCGTAATTGTGTCGAAATTATTAGTAGATAATTAAATATGTGTATTAAATATGAAATGCTCAACGACCCAAATTTGTAAATGGCTTAATTTAAAAAAATTGAGGTTATAAAGTTTTTCTATAATTTTCAATGATTTTCAATAATTTCTTGCAATATTAATAAAAATATCAATTTAACTAGAACACTATTAATGGTTAAACTCTTTGGTACAATCTTTAAAATTCTCATTTTTAAACAAATATACTCGATTTAACAAAATATGCTTACTATGTAATTTATCTAAAAAAAAATGAGAAAATTGCTTAAATCGCTCATTGGTAGATTTTGATACAAGATATTTTATTATATATATATTGTTTTCCTTGCATCTTCTTTTATAGATTAAGCCATTATAGCTTCAAATGCCTTATATATCATTTGTAATTATTTATAAAGACTCACCGTTGTTGTTGCGTAGAATAGAACCGGGACTGGTGGCTTCCAAAGGGCTGCTTGGCTCCTCCGTGATCGGCTCTCCCTTCACACTGAAATGAAAACATCTATTATGTATTTGGATGAAAGGGCGCAGGACGATATTAATCGAAAGTAGTTCAAGTTCGGCCGCGGAGTCCTTGCGCTAGGAAGGACAGTAGGAAGCAGCATTATTCGCTGGCATTTGACGCTCGATACCGCCGGTACGGCCCTGGGACGATGCAATAAAAGGTTGACCCAGTTTTGACTTCGATTCCCACCACGAATCCGGCTTTAGGAAAAATTAATCAAGACAAAAATGGAGAAGCAGAAAAATCGATGATCTTGAACAATCGTCCATTTTTTCTTAAACAGTTCGTGAATTATGTAATTTATTACAGTATTAACGTGACAAAATCATCCCCTTTGCATAGATTTTTATACCATGTGTTTTTTTTTTACAATATTTTAGTCTTATAAAATATTGTTGAAGAAACGAACATTTGCGGTTTATAAATTTTGGGGATATTAAAAAATATAAATTATTCATTGCTTTAAAATTAAGTTAAATTAAATATGATGTTTAATTTATAAAATTTTATAAAATTTGATGTTTATTTAATTATAATTATATTTAATTGTATTATTTTAAGTTCAATTCATTAGTAACTTGCTAAAAATTAAGTTTGCTAATGACTATGTTTGTTTGATTAATAAATACTTGATTTAACCAATCTACACAATTCAAAAGCAATAATACATTCAATGATACATTATTCCAATACGTTATACAGATACGTTATACATTCTGTATCGAGCTGTTATTCGACACCATAAGCGATCTCGTCCGAAAGGAACGGTGCACAGTATCGTACCATTCGCGTCGCCGCTATTCCTAGTATCGTCGATAATTATCGCCTTTGGATGGATAGAACGAAGTGGGTCATCCGAAAATATCCGCATCTATAGGTATCCGATTGCACGCGCCGGATTTTATTCGTCCTCGCAGGACAATTTCGCGTCCTCGACCGAGCGAGCAAATACTCTTTGGACCCGTGGTATGAGAAAACATCAAAATAAAGCTACAAGAACTAAAATACATGAAATATAGCGGGTGGTGGCATGTGCATGTGAATATAAGATGATTTCTCGTTAGAAAAAAAAAAAAAGAAAATTCGAGATATGTCTCTGGCAAACCCGCATGTTGTGGTTTACTATGAAATTGACATAAGATATTTGAAGAAAGTAAAATAAACCCTTAAATTCATATTGCGATTCTTTTGTAAATTTAGAATTGATTTTTCTCGTTCTGAAGATGCCGAATAGATTTCACACAATTGACTGTCAAATAATATTATTTGCACAAGCAAATACAAAATGCTACAAAAATGTTAGCATCCCTATCGCTCAATTATAGAGAGAATTCACCCATTCCACGCCACAATGCGCGCTGAATTAATTAATATTGATTATTCTATACCGTTGAGCTCATATGTAGCGAGCCGCTTTATTCATTTGTCAAGCGAACACGCTACAGAAAGAAATTGAGCAATCTGTACACCAAACAATTAATTATATAGATAATTATACTTTAATTAATATAATAACTTCTCAATTCTATTTATTAGTTCACGCAACATAATTCGAAAAGACTAGATAATTCTCAACGGTTTTATTGAAACCTATTCGTTAACTTCTCCTAATTGCGAGATTATCACCGATGGATCAAGATTGAGACTGTTATAATTTTGGTAAATTAAATTCCCGATAACCGCTCAATTATTATAATTGCAATTTTAATTTCCAATACTCTTATTATCATAAGTGTACGTAAAGATCATTTTCTCACATACCGGAAAATTAGAATTGGCTGAAATTATATTACTTTGCAATGGAAAGCTCGATACGAATATCGGTCCTGCTCTTCGAGAGAGGTTAGGTTGGAGTTAAATTTTCTCAACTTGGAGATTTTTTTATTCCCCGCCAGATTTTACGTATTGATATCTCTGTCATAAAACAGAGACGGCTACCTCGAGAAATCGAGTGAGTGTTCACAGCGACTCGTTGTGCTCCGTTATTTGAATTTTTAAATCGACAGAATGGTGGAACGCGGACTGTACGCTAGAGCGAGAGGAAGCGGTGCACTTAATGCGTGCATTATTAATCGGCGTCCGCGCATATACACTCGATCCTGCAAATACGAGAACTTGCGTAAAACCTCTTACAGTTCGCCGCATAACCATAATATCGCGCGCATGGGATAACTTCTGAAGGCCGTGTGTACGCCACATTGTCGAATTGTACCGCAGCGCTTCGCTGGAAAGCAACTGGCCTAACCCTGAGCTTAAAAGATATTTGTCTCCCTTACCAGTGAAAATCAACTCAAAAAGCCACATAGATATGTTTCAGTTGAGATATTAAGGCATAAAAAGTTAATTAATGATTTGTAAAACGGAGATTTGAAGCGAAAGTCGCGTAAATAAATCGTATATATTTGTGCCAAGTCATCGCGAATCGAATTTTTATTTCGATTATATCAGAAACACATTGGCAACACTTATTCGAAAAAAAAAACAGTACATATTTGGAGATTGTTTCATACCTTGTGATTACCCAAAACCGAGAGGAAAAAACATGTCAAATTTTACAGCGTTGCGTACGCGTACGCGCACGCAAATGTACGCGCACCGTGTAAATCGGCAAGTTCAATTTCTAATGTTGCCAATATTGGGAACTGAGCTCCACGTCGCCAACAGATAAATAAGAAACATTTTCGCTATGACACAAGAATCGAGATCTACCGAGTATAATATATGAGTTTTCGAATTTAGGTATCTAGAATGCGACGAGATGGGGGGATTTTCTCTCACCTGATGAAAGTGAAATCCGCGGAGGGGCTGGAGGGTCTCGGCGAAGAGCTCGCGGTGGACGCCGTGTTGGTCTCCTCCACGTCCATCATCGTTCATGCCGATGATGACCAGCTCTCCACCACCGCTGCGATATCCCGCGAGGGAGGAGGGTTGATAACAACGAGCACCGCGACCGCGACAGTCACGACGATGGCGACGATTCGCGAGAAGGTCGACCGACGACGACCGCGACCGATGACCACGACCGACCGAACCCCGTACAGTCGGCTTCCGCGCGGGGGAGGGGAACAGAAACCATAGAATTAAGGGAGCTTGAGCCGTGTTACGGGAGGGAAGGACTAAAGGGTTGGTTTCACGCCATTCACGCCCGTCGTCCGCGAGCGCGAGCGCGGGCAGGTAACAACTGGCGAACGACTCCAGCACCCCCACTACCCCCGCGCGACACGGGGCGCTGCGACGCCTGGCGAACCTGCGCCGCAACACCTGCTGCGCGGGCACGCAATCATCGCGCAGGCGTTTCAGCGACTTTCATCCGTTCGATTCCCAGAATCGCGATAAACGTCGGGAAGCGCGAATTTTTCAAGCGGAATCGAAACGGAACAAAAACAAAACGGCGATATATTAATTAACGTAATTAATGAAGCGCTCAACTTTTAAATTAGAGTTTTAACCTCTAAAGTTCAAGTTTAATGCCCATGTCAATGTTTCCAAAAAATTGTATAGAGTGAAAACTAATATTTTTTTTAGATGAAATAATTGTAAGCATCATATACCGTATTTGTTCTTGTTTGAGACTTGAGTAAAAACAACAGTTTTCGTTTTTTATTTTGAAAACAAATTCTTTAATAAATATAATTATATACATCAATATAATCATTACATTCTTCTGAATATTTTTTTATACATCTGCCTCACGCGCAGTGCTATATTTACGTGTGTTATTTATCCTCGAATGATAATATCTTACAAAAGTTTCTCCTACCAACAATGGAAATAGTAAAGTCGCGTCAGCACATACCTAAAACAAGAAAAGAGGCGAAATTACTTGATAATTTTATCCATCACTATTTGTTTAATCAGTAAATTAGAAAGATAATGCTGTTACCTTAACAGGTGTGGCGTCTTTCCGTATTTTTCCCCAAGAAATTGCTTCCTCGGGACGAGCGCCACTGTCACTGCCATCAAACTCCGAAGAAGTGTTGATGAAGACGGCATAATCGGCACCGTTCCTCTGTAATAAAATATTCTCATTACTGCGACTGCATATACGCTCAAATGATATGCGAAATTAGAATCGTCCTACCATGAGATTAGCATTGCAGATGTGATGTTTTATTACACCACCTCCGACGATTACCATACCGCTTTTCACCGCTTTCATAGCTATTCTGTTTAATCTCTTAAGATCTGTTGAATTAAAAATTTATCAGCTCATGCATTATGTAAATATTACATCAAAAATGTTAACTAACCCGCGTTTATATCAAGTACGAGTCCAGGATTTTTGAACGAGTGAAAGAACATCATATCACCAAGGCTACCATCCGTTAACGCTGGGCAAAATACTGGTATTTTATTCTTTGCGGCCCAGTAATAAATTGAATCTTCGTGATTGATTTCCTCACCGAGTCTTGTTATCATTTTAGACGGCGTCCATAAAGCACCCTAAAGTGCAATTCAACAATATATAAAAATACAAATCTATATCATTTTGCATATCCAATTCTCTTACAGATACATGATTTCATATACCTTCTCCTTTTGTTCAGCCAGCATTGCATCTAATTTTGGCATCAGCCAATCTTCAAACAAACAATAATTATTATTCGGCACTAATAAATTTCCAGTTCTGTTGAGTGCTTTATCTCTAAGCTGTCTATCATCCAAGTAGAAACTGCCAATATATGTGGGTGCCAAACATTTTATGAAATCTTCTTCTACTCCACCGGCTGTGGTCACGAGACAATCTACCTACAAATATTTCATTCAGTATCGCATGAAACAATTACTAAATAAAATCGTTAGATGCATAAACCTACCAGTTTATGCTGTACAAGAAATCTTATGGTTTCCCTAATACCACTAGACACCATGTTCGATGTGTAACCCAGAAATATCGTACAATGGGATTTTCTTTTTATGAATTCATCTTCTTCTATCGTATCCATTTGATCTTCTACGAGTGGTATGTTCCTTTGATACAACATTCGGTTTACTTCTTCGATCGCTAGTGCAAAATTTGTAGCTTGGAATCCACAATGCATCATAGTCTTAAATAATTCATGATAGTTCAGTCCTTTGTTAAAATCATAACCTGTATAATATACAATTTTATTATCATTAACATTAACAACAATAAAAGTAACTATTAGTGAAAAATATGCCAAGAAATACCTTTTACTATAGCTGCACCAGCTGGCAAAGAGCTGCTCGAAGCCAGAACAGCACTTTTTGCCACTTGCGCTTCATCCTGCAAATCTTCTTTTTTTTGTGTATCACCCATAATAATTTTCTTACAACTTTAGAAGTTTAAACAAATTAGAAGATTGAAAAAATTGTGTTTATTCTGAAGATTTAACCTGCAAAAAAGGTAGATATAATTTCCCACAAGTATAGATAATACATAAATAATGAAAAAAAGTACAAAATAATAATCACTACAATTCCTATTGTAAATAATATAATAGTTCTGCAATTTTATACTGTTAAACATGTCTAGCAGTCGTAAGATCGTATAACCGGTAAAATAATTCGTCATAACATAAAATTTTATTTGTAATTAAAATTGTATAGCTTTAAATTGTATTAAAAAATTTTTAGAAAATGTTGAATATACAAATAATGTGAGTGTATTTAATTAAGAAGATTGACATTAATATAACTCAATATATTAATTTAGTTATATTCTAACCTGTCAATTAACGTATAAGCGTTCCAAACAGCTTTCACTGTAAGCAGCCATATTGTTTTTTAGCGCTTACAGGTATGCACACACACCCATCTATCAACATTTGGATCAATTCTTCGTAAAGCCTGCATCAGACTATGGCTGCGTTCCGAAATTCACTGCCAGTACTGAAAATCTACAATATACGTGACGTAAACTGTAGATTTTCAGTACTGGCAGTGAATTTTGGAACGCAGCCTACGCAACTTGTTGCAGCCATTGAGTAAAAAGAAACAGGAGGGAGCGTTTGGTCTTAAAAGTGCGGACGGAAGTGACTATATAAAGTAGTCGCTCAAGATGGCCGCTCAAGGGCGCCAATATTGAATGACTTGTTATGTTTAATTAGGAAATAATGTATAATTAAAAGAAAATAACTATAATATGCAACAATAATACCAAATTTTAATGGCGTTTTTCATTGGGATTGCACTCGTGCAGTATTTCCATAAGAGCAATGTTAAAATCTAAAATCTAAATTTATATTAAATCCTTCGTCCTTACAAAAATTTATCCATGCATTTCTTTGATCCGGATTTTTCGGAAACCTGTTTGTGAGTGAAAATTATTTAGTAATTATTGTGAATCTACAATTTCACAATACTATACATATGATTATAATCTCCAAAATAAAAATCTCATTATTGTTGATAATACTAACCGATGAAA